AAGGAGGCCTTTGGGATGGGGGGGGGCTTTCATTGGCTTTCAGACAGGGAGGGGAGGGTTGGGTCGGGGGGGGGGCTCTTTGGAGGCCTTTCTCAGGGGGCCTTTCCTCGAGATGGGGCTCTTGGCCTGGTGGGGGTTGGAGAACTGTAAACAAACCGGGGCGGAATCCCCCCGCCCAGGTGGAGCCCACAGGGGGAGGGGCCCTGGCGTCTCAAGGGCGGCAGGTGGGCGGGTGAGCCCCCTCCAGGCCGGCGCAAGTGTCTCCCCGGGGGCCCGGCCGAGAGAGCCCCCCACACACACACACGCCCAGCGCAGGGCCCTCCGCTCGTGGCCCCGGAGCCTTCCTCCGTCCCCACCCTCTCGGCTCTCCCTCCCTCCCTCGCCTGCCCTGGCCTGAGGCCCACGCAACCCAGGGGAGCGCAGAACGGCTCCGTCCTGCTCCGCGGGGGGGCTTGCGCACGTGGGGGCCGGTGCCCCAGGATCGTGTCCAGTGGCCCTGTGTGCCGATGACGGCCGGAGGAGGACCCAGGCAGGCGGTTTAAAAATAAGGCTCCTGTTCAGCAGAAAACGCTGAAATAGCAGCAGAGCTCACTTAAGCTGTCCGGGATGGACTTTGGCATTTGGCACCCGTGAAAATAACAGCAGCTGTCCAGCCAGCACTGCAGCAGCCATTAAAAATAGCCTCCCAGAGCATAGCTCGCCTTAAAGACCACCGCCGGCAGGGCCGCAGCCACGTCTTGGGCTTCTGGCTTCAACTTCCCTCCCCTCTCAGTCCCCCCCCCCGCCCGCAGGACTGTCCAGCTCCATAAAGCCCCCCTTTCGACACTGGACGGGGTCTGCAAACCTCATGAAAAGCAAAAATTCTACTTTGTGAGCTGCTGGCATTAAAGTTGTGAGCGAGCGATTCGGCTACTGCATAAATCAGTTTGCTCTGGAGCTGCCCTCCTTCCTGAGCGGAGACAAGACTCTGTGAGCCAGAGGCTAAAAAACTGTGAGCTAGCTCACACTCGCTCAGCTTAGAGGGAACTGAAAAGTACTGAGACTTACTAGTGAAAGCTTGGAAGCTTGGTTGGGGCTGAATACATTACAGGAAGACTGGTCCGGAGTACCCCAAAGTCTTTGCACATCCACAGCAAGCGGCTACGGAAGGACAAGGGTGGGGTCCTGGGTTCAAGAGGAACGGGGCAACCTGGGGAGGGTCCAGGCAGAGGAGGGGCAGGCCTGGTTAACGCCCCGCCAAGAAGCAGCTCAACTGTGCTGCTTTGAACCAAAAGCAGAAGTCCTCTGGAGTCGTGTGCGTTTTGCTGCCTAAAGGGGTTTTCAGCCCGGAGGAATTTCACTGCAGTGGAAACCCGGAAGCCTCCATTACTGCCTGCGGCTGAACATCTCCTACGTCCCCTTGGGGACAAATCGCCTCACCCACTTTGCTGCACCGTCCAGAAAACAGGAAAGGGGAGATGGGCTTTGCAAAACCAACTCTGCTTGGATTTCACGCAGCCTCCCAGGGCCTTGCAGAGAAGGGCATCCGTCACAAGTGGGGAGTGCCCCGCCAACTCCCAGGAGGGCCCGCCAGCCCCACTGGGCACATAACGGAGTCCTGCGGGGGAGCAGGGGGCAAGGGGGAAATGGGGGCAGAGGACAGAGTTCCAGCGACTCCTGAGCCAAACATTTCGCCTCTCCCCGAGGGGCCTAGAGGCAGGCAGCACACTCTCCGGGGATGGGGGGGCGGGGGCTTTTCACCAACATAGGCACCTCTGGCGCTGCTGGGGCGGTGGGGAGGGAGGGGCTGGGCTGCCCACCAAGGCTCCCTCTCAGCCGCGGAGCCCTGTGAGCAAAAATTCCCCTTTGTGAGCCGCTGGCATTAAAGTGGTGAGCGAGTGATTTGGCGACTGCATAGGTTAGTTTGCTCTCCTGGAGCCATCCTTCCTGAGCAAAGACAGAAATATGTGAGCTAGAGGCTAAAAAACTGTGAGCTCACACTAACTCAGCTTAGAGGGAACACTGGCTGCCCCTCCCGCCGCCAGGGAGCCGCTTGCCTCTCCGCTCTGCAGCCTGGGAACCTGGCCAGGCTTTCAGCATCCTGGTGGGCCGTGGCTGAAGTGAAACACTGGCCTGCTCAGTGGGCGGAAGACCCTTCCTTCATTTAGGATATTTCTAGGTGGGTCACCTAGGCTGAAGCAGCAGAACAGAGTTGGCGTCCAGTGGCCCCTTTAAGACCCAGAAGAAGAGAAGAGACTGGATTTATACTCTGCCCTTCACTACCCAAAGGAGTCTCAGAGCGGCTTACAATCTCCTTCCCCTTCCCACAACAGACACCCTGTGAGGTAGGCGGGGCTGAGGGAGCTCTTTTGAGGACTGCTCTTGAGAGAGCAGCTCTGCGAGAACGTGTGGCTGACCCAAGGTCACACCAGCAGCTGCATGTGGAGGAGCAGGGACTCAAACCCAGCTCTCCCAGATTACAGTCCGCGCTCCTAACCACGACACCAAACTGGCTCTCAACGAAGTTTAATTCAAGGTATAAGCTTTTTGTGTGTGTGCACTCTTCTTCAGATACCTCTAAATATCATTCATGATATTTCTGTTTCATTCAGGATATTTCTTCAGAGTCCCACTTAAGACAGCTTGCCCCTACAC